AACTAGGATCACACTAATCCAGCACGTTATTAATCTCACGTGCGCGGCCCCGAAACGTCTGTTGTCCATGATGATGGCGACTCGACGAAATAAAACAATGAAACAATTTTTCTTTTCAAAACGACGCATGCCGACCCAAACGCATGCGACAAACTTCCGCTGCATAATGAATCATCTGACAGATGCCAGCAAAATAAAAACAATTGGGCGAAGCCAGAGTCTTTTAGCAGGTCCCAGCCAATGAATAACAACTGGGCGTAGCCGGCCGTGACCGGCTCCGCCCAGTTGTTATTGTTTAACGACAGATCAGCATACCCAGGTCATTTAAGGATGCTGATCTGTCATTACAACTGGGTGGAGCCAGCTGTGAGATCACGGCTGGCTCCAACTAGCTTTCATTTGCGTGGAGATCAGTCAGCTAGAGCAACTATTTGGCTGTCACTTCGGCTCAGTTGAGCCGAAGCATATGCCTTCGGCTTGGCTGAGCCGCTCGGCTGCCGTACGGGCTATAGTGAATAGCCCGTACAGCAGTCCTTTGGTTCGACTGAACCAAAGGGCTCCGGCGGCTGAAGTGAGCCGAAGGATCAGCCGAAGCTACGGCTGGATCCTTCGGCTCATTCGTGAATAACCCTCTTATTCTTACATACATTTGCTCTTCCAAATTTTGGTTACCATTTAATATACTGTATAAATGAGCAGATTCACCACTAGAGGGAACTCTCTGGCCGTCTTCTACTAGAGGTAGAAGATGGCATCTCTAGCTTCTACCTCTACCTATCTATCTAAAGAGACTTTGTCATTGGGGAGGGGGCTGCAGGCATAGAGAAATACCTGCAGCAGCCTCTCAAATCCACTGTCACAGCTGAATATTAAGCCCCTCTAAAAGGCAAAGCTTTGGCACTTTCTGATACTTACATTCTTATGAGCATATGTGGGTACGGGACTTAGTGAGAGATTCTGACACTACACGAAGTGTGGGACCTTTGTCTATCATGAAGGTGGTGAATTTACCATGACAGGAAGGCCTAGGAGGGGGCAGCACTTCATACCTGCAGCAGTTTGCCCTTCTCTTCAGCTGTTAAAAAGATTAGATATCAGCCACATAGGGAGTGCATTATTTTAGCGAGTCAGCATATTTTCACAGTATTTAAAACACGCACACAAAGCTTGCAGAAATTTGCACAACCATGTTAGCTGTACTCGTCAGTGTTTGAAGGTACTGAACAGCAAAGTACTGTTATACTAGGAAAGAAAACTGCATTTCTTTTCTACCCTTACATTCGTTAGCTATTTTGTATATTCTTTTCATGTAGAGACAATACAGAATGAAGTACACACTGATATCACTAAAGGTGTCTGAAAATAACCACTGAAAGTAAAAGAGCAATAGTGCATGTTTTCATGGAGGGTTACACAATGCACATGATTTCAAATGCCTGCTGTAAAGATAAAAACCCGCACTTAAGCTGCTTCATTTGTACAGTCAGCATGGCATGCAGGGTGTACAGGTTTTTTTTTTAGAGCTGGTCCTTCCTTTGGTGTATGTGTCTTTCTTGCTGCTTTTGGGTTTTTTAAGCCATACTTTTATTGGACACATTGGCTAATGCAACATATTTGCATTTAAGCCACAAAGACGGCAAGATACGCATTAAATAAGAGCAAAGACCTGCACTGTGAAAAGGAGCTAAAAAGTGCAATGATTGTATACTACAAAGCAGGAAAGGGCTTGTGTATGTACTGAACATATAAGACTACCCACAGTTCATTTATAATTACAAACTTTACAATATACTTATAAATATTTTATTGACACAATTTAATATGAAGTTTTTATATCAAGCTGAACTCTATTATATGTACAATATATCTAATTCAGCACTAAAGAGACTATACATTCACTTTAACTTGGCTGATCCGAAGCCACACGAAGCAAGCCGATGTACGGCTGATTTCAGCCAATATACGGCTTAAATCAGCCGTACCAGCCTGAAGTGAATAGCCGAACAGTGTTCGGCTCACTTCACTTCTGATCGGTCATTCACTCGGCTGCCCTCGGCAGCTTTGTGAATAGACCCCATAATTTCAGATTTCATCTAAATCACCACCTGCTGGTTGATCTTGGTATTGTGATCTGGATACTTCCTCAAGCTCATTGACTCAAAGCATTGGAGCAACAGGGTGTACATAACCAGACAACTAGCAATTTCAGAGGGAGGGTCCAGCAATGACAGCCTCTTTCATTTGCAATAGCAGAGTACAGGAAAATTCCTAGCAATAAAAATAAACATGACTGTGTCTGCTGATATCAACCTGCTACGATGAAAAAAACAGAGTCTTACCTTAAAGTGACATTAAAGTCAAGTTTTTTCCCCCATTCTGTTTCTGCTTTTAATATTTACCTTATATGATGCCTCTAGATCGGAACATCTTCTTCCTTTCACTGGTTTCCATAAGTGCCTCCAGTGCTGGTGTCGATCTCTGATCCAGCGCAGACTTCTGTATCCCACATAGTCTGTCCAGCATGCACACTCTCGGGTGCGTGCATTCACTTCTACTGAGTCACTCCTCTTCTCCCTGCCGGTGATCTCCACTGCGCATGCGCCCGCCTACACTTCCTCCTGCACAGGCTGTTTGAAAGATCTGTTCTGCAGCCGGGAGCGAGTGGCGCAGACACAGATGAGTAATTGTCTATTTGACAATTTTTTTATGTTTTTGCATACAGATGTTCCTCGCTTACTGACTTACCTGTTTTGCGACCACTCGCACTTACGACGGACCGCCGATCGACCTCAAACCTTGCGCGTCAGTGCGCCGTGTCGCCGGCGGAAGTGGTGTCCTCCGATCTTCACTGCGGGTCCCGGTAAGTATTTTCATTGCCTGATGTACAGTACACTGTTCAGTACTGTACATCGGCAACGCTATACAGTACAGTACTAATGCAGTACATTACTGTATAGAGTTCCTCACTTAACGACCAATCCGTTTAACGACCTGGTCGTAGGAACGGAGCTCGTCGTTATGTGAGGAATACCTGTATATCTACTGCTTGCTAGCAGTGGATACCTGTATTTGCAAAAGAAAATGGAAACTTTAATTCTACTTTAACTTGGACAAAACAGGAAATGCACTGACAATGCCAACACTGAAAATGCATGCGTCTTGCTTGTTTCCAGCCTCAATATTTTCTAAGTAACTGGCCTGGAACAAGCATAAAAACCAGTGAGGTTCAGAACTCCAGATCTTAGTACATGTTCTAGAATTAAAGGCTCATAAAGTACATAGCTTCAGTCATAGCTTCAGTGTCAACATAACAGTCAGGCAACAAGTGTTTTCAGAAGACGTCACCAATGGCACCCTATGTATTTTCTCAGTACCTGTTTGTTTTAAGAATCATATTTTTTCCCATAGGAAAAGGAAATTCCTTACATTGTATTTCTTTCAGGGAAAAAAATGTCCTAAGTCAGAAAAAAAGGTTTTGGCATGGCTGGATGCTACTGATTATTATGACATCCAACAGATCTCTCATCTAATAAACAGAGGACATATTTGGCAATCCAAGGCCAGCAAAAGACAACATATCTTCTCTATAGTTTCTAATATTAAGAGTTATATGACATTGCTACTTTTCAGCTTCCAGTAGGTGCATTTTGTGTGAAACATATCTTTCTCATTTACACGTTGTCTGCATTAGGTAACGTTCATATATAAGTGTGTCTCAACTTGTTTGACAGGTCAGAATCATGCTTTTTACAATTTTAATGTGAGTGATGTGGAACAAGTGGTTGAAGCATGTTTCCCCAGCATAGCATATACACATGACAAAGGCATGGAAGAGGTCAAAAATATTTCCCTTTGACAACATACACCTTATAGGTGGAGCTGGAGATTATTTAAGGTTTTAAAGTGGAACTGCAGCTAAAACTTTTTGTTTTGAGTGGAGAACAATTAGAATCATTATCAGGTTGTTGTCCTTATTGCCTACGCCACTGATGGGGTGATTTCCTCTTACAGGGACATTGGTCAAAGAGAAAGGACATAAGGGAAAAAAAAGGGAAGGGCTAGTACCTCAACTAGGTCCTTACTGATGTCCCAATGAATTAACTGAACTTCCCTAATGGATAAGTACACAACAACAAATGCAGGTGAAACTCGAATAATTAGAATATCATGCAAAAGTAATTGCAGTAAGTTCTGCAAAAGGGGCCCAAACCAAGTACTGAGTACATATGCATGCTTGTACTTTTCAGAGGTCCGATATCGTTCTATGTACAATCCTTGTTTTATTGATTGCATGTAATAATCTACTTTTCTGAGGTTGTGGATTTGGGGTTCTTGTGGTTTTCATGAGCTGTAAGCCATAATCATCACAATTATGACAAATCACAGCTTGAATTATCTTGCTTTGCATGTAATGAGTCTATCTCATATATTAGTTTCACCTTTTAAGTTGCATTAGTGAAATAAATGAACTTTGCACGATATTCTAATTATTCGAGTTTCACCTGTACTTGATAGAGGGTCTAACTCTTCCAACTCTATCTAAAACAAAAAAAAATGCCTTTACATACACTTAAATGCAAACACATAATAGTTCCAAGCCAGGTATTGCTTGCTGTACTCAAAAATATGCACCACATTCAGTTTCAGTAAATCATGGTTATTGGCAATCTATTTTAATTTTTGCAAAATCATACAGATGTGCGTTGTTGTATGTGTATACTTTTCTTCTCATTACCAAATAGTACTGGAACTATAAAAAAAGAATAAAGAAATTATATATATATACACTGTATATATACTGTATATATATGCATATATACTGTATTCCTTTGAGGGTAACCATACTGCTGATGCGGCCCCCGATGAATTTGAGTTTGCCACCCCTGCTGTATATTATATATAATACTGTATATATACAGTATATATGTGTGTGTTATTTTCACAGTATATATTTACTACATAAGCTTCTACTGAAGATTATTTTTGTGCTCTTTGCTTACCCTTGTATGTGTCCGAATGTGCATCTTTAATCCGTCATTCTTACTGAAGGCTTTGTCACAGTAAGGACACTGGTAGGGGCGCTCACCTGCAAACAAGATAAGCATCACAATTACCATATGCACTCTATGGCTGGAAAACACTGCCCTGACACATCAGGAAAGCACAGCATGACTATGTCAAAGGAGGCACATTCTTCTAGCTCAAGGTTCATGTTCATTTACGAAAAGAGTAAAACAGAGAGTGAAGATCTGAGCTTTTAAAAACTTCACATAAAGAACAAAAGAGCACATTGGCTACATGCTGGGCCGGATCAAAGCATCACTTCTCGCCGCCTGATGTTCCCTAAGAACATATGAATGCATGCAGAGATATGCAAGGCAAATATGACGGTCCAGTTAATGGGTGAATTATGAACCATTTTGGAATTTTTATTCAGTGTGCTGCTTTACTACACTATTCGTAAAGGGTGCTAACATGGCTACACATCTGTTGAACATTTCCACCATCTGGACTGCAGCCATCACATTTAATTACTGTAATCAAATCCTCCCCCTACTCTATATTTAACTAACAATGTACATTTACTTGGAAAATGTTGCTACGTACAGTAGTTTTATGTACAATATTCAAATAAAAGAAATTACAACAGAATTCCTAATTTATAAAAAATATTCATGACATTTAATAAAATACCACAAAGAAGCAATCTTATGTAAAGTGTGAGCTAAACAGTGTAAAATTCACTGCTTTGGTGTAAGATCCTTTATCTTCCTGCTAGTAGCAACTAAAAAAATTGAAATGTCTTTAAAGAGAAACTGTGAAAACAGAACAACAGGAGCTGCCATTGCTGACTAGGTATTTAAAGATGAAGTTTCTAGCACTATCATCACCTGGATTCACTACCCTACAGAGTCACTGGCCTGCAACAAGAATGTGGCCAGAAAACTGTAAGAAAAAGATAAAATTCCAATTCTTCATACTTGTCAAAGTCAGAGGCTCACTAGGTAATGAAGACAGGATTCGAATGGAATCATAGGATTATGATATACATGTACCTGCAAGAAAGTTGCTCAAACTGCAGTACAAAAGTGCAAATATTGCAGCCACACTGTCAGCTCCACTGTCCGTTAGTTCTTACAGCATAAATACAGACACATAAACTCTGACTCTTATCTATGGAAGTGATAGGATTTAGTTGAATAATGCTTAAGTATAAGAATAGGGTGTGCTTGTTGAGGACTGTTTTAACAGTAGTTATCCTTTAAGCTGCTCAGTGATAAGGGTCTTATTCGGCCTTTTCTTATTAGTCATTTAGAAAATCAACAGTTGGTGAACAAGAGCTTAAAAAAGGGAAGAGGAAGACTCTTGGTTTCAAATGGACTAATTCATGGGGGGAAAGGAGGGGGTCTAAAGTCAGCCATGGCCTCTGAAATAGGTTTTGGTGGCTAGATGCTATGACCTTCTTAGTTACATACGTGAGCTAGCCAAATAATCCATCATACAAATTAATTACACATAAGTATATGAACAAACTAACAAAGTAAACCTGTAATGCTAACCCAATTAAAACTAAGGATATCACTGAATAGAATACTTAACTTTTCCTCACTGAGTTTCAAAAACCAGAACTACCAAGTATAGAGAGAAGGGCCACTCTACCCACCACAATGCTGGTACAAATGGACAGATCTCAGAACTGCTGTGTGGGGATGGGTGACACATGTTTCTATGCTATTAGCATGGACTCTTTGGGAGCTCCAGAAGCTCCCTGCAAGGATCAAGATGGGAAATAAAGGTACACTGAGATACCATATTATACATTCTATTTTCTTTGAATTATATTTGATGTAGGCAGTATAGGTACACTTTAAATTTTCATTTTTATAATGAAATACTAATTGTAGATGTTTACTGTTAATATATCAAATTAAAGTAGGGTATTTTTCCTAAAATGTATATGTTTTTCTATTTATGCCGCTATGCTGTCTTGTATGATTAAATGTATTTGTAAATTAAAATGTATATATATTTTATTGTACACTTTAATGCTTAGTACTTTTTAAATACATGTACTTGCAAATCTGAAGACTTTGATTTTTTTTTTAAGGGTGGTTCTAGGTTAACCAAGTCCAGACAATGCTAGCATACTGTCAGCAGACCTGAGGATGTGTTCAGAACTTTGTTTATTTAGTCGAAGGTGTTTATGTCCCATGGATCAGACCTGGATAACCCCTATAAGATTCAAGTCCTTGAGTGTCAATCCCTGATACATACAAATTGTTGGCTGGAATCTACAGAGGTCAAGGTATTTTCTGATTAAGGCAAACACCTGGGAATTCCCAATCTCAACTGTGAAGATGATTTATAGTACTGTCACAGCTGATTATTCATAAAGTGAACACATGCTGTATTTAAGGTTACTTTTTTGATGCTGCTAACATGTATAACTTGCACAAAGCATGTACATATACATAATGTTGATTTACTAAAAGACAATATTTTAATGATATGGTTATTAATGTTGCATTTTGTTTGTACTGTATATGCAGGAAAAGCTGGGAAAGCAAAAAATAATGCATAGTGTTGGTACATAAGAACTAAATAGGTACTTACAAGTGTAAACGCAAAAGGAAGAGATTGAAAAAAAAAAGGAACAAATCGAAAAGGGAAGAGAATGAGCTGTAAGGTTTCATTTTCTAACCACAAATTTTGCAGGCTTCTGTAGACAATCACACTACTTTTTCTTGCTCTAGTGTTGAAAAATAACCTCAAACTATTTGACTTTTACCTGTGTAGTGGCAGACCGCCACTGTGTGGTGGCCTGGATGGGACATATTTCTGTATTCAGCTTTGTGGTAAACGCACTGTCTGTAACTCGCTATGTTTATTGCGGTAACAATTATTTGAGATGTATCTTCTATATTTTACTACTCTACGTTTCAATAAAGACGTTTTGAATTTAAAAAGAAAAAACTATTTGACTTTTACCTGTGTAGTGGCAGACCGCCACTGTGCGGTGGCCTGGATGGGAAATATTTCTGTATTCAGCTTTGTGGTAAACGCACTGTCTGTAACTCGGTATGTTTATTGCGGTAACAATTATTTTAGACGTTTCTGCATTGAGTTAATGTATCTTCTGTATTTTACTACTCTACGTTTCAATAAAGATGTTTTGAATAAAAAATATATATATATTTGACTTTTTTTTCACTAAAGGTAATTTTATCATTTAATAGCAGGTAAAAAAATACAATAGTAGAAGCAATTTTTTTTTACTGAAGACCACATTCACATGACCTGATCCCAGACTTCCTGAAATTTCTATGTAAACAGACAATTGCCTAAATCAGCTAGAATGAATAGTATGATTGTACATCAATGTATAGGACTAGTTTTTCTGTTTTTTCAGTTAATATACAATTACACATGCCTTACCGACACCACGTCTGGTAGGTTATATAGATTTAGCTGCTCACCATCCACAATGTTTTTTAGTTTAACTCCATTATGTAAAATATTTTCACTACAGATATAGAGAGGACATGTTCTAATCCTGCCATGCAATCACTTCTACAATTTACATTCAAAAATGTTATGAATTAGGAGGTGGCACAGATTATATTTCCTAGCATCAGATATACCTTTTCATGCTATGTGAATGCAGGCCATGCAATGTGTAAGTGTAACGTTTGCAGGTATTCATTACACTTTATAGTGTCCAGAGTACTTTTTCTGACAATGCCCTCATCTTTCTTTGTCCCTAGATGGCCAGTGCCATCTTTGTTTAGGCATCATCCAAGGTCAAACCCTTCCAATAGAAGATGCAGTCAAGTAAATCCTAGTGCCTTTACCAGCAGTTATGTTCTAGCTTGTGGTTACCTTTGCCTCACACTGCATTTCTTCTTGCAGCTGCCTTTAACCTTGTCACCTGCCACAGTTAAGGTGCCCATACACCTTACAACCATCGCAAGACTTTTGTCTTGCGATAGTTGTCAGCTAATTAAAATAGACGTGCGACCGTACAGTAGAAACGGTCGCATGCCTTCCATACACTTTGCGATTATCGCACGATCGCAGGATTTCCCACGATTCTTGTACAATAATCGTACAGTGTATGGGCACCTTTACAATGCTATTGTCTTAATGATTGCTGGGGGAGAGAAACCTAAAGCAATGCTTTTCTCCTGCCTGCAGCAGACTGATAAAAGATTTGTCCCAGATTGTAACTCTCAGGCTGGGTGCAGTTAGGAGTGTTTTTTAATGATTAAAGGTTTAGCGTAAAAAA